AACTTTGATCTGAGAAACAGTAAAATTGGAGTCAGGAGCCCTGGCTCCAGCTGTGTCCTCAGGCAAACTGTCCTCACTCTCTGAGCCTCAGTTTCCTCCAATTTATAGTCTGGACCACTGAGAGAGGAAATAATTTAGGGTCATAGCATTATTGATGTGGGGCTGGAAAGCACCTCAGAGGCCACCTAGAGCTACTCTTTCAGTTTACAAATGAGGAAACTGAAGCCCAAGGTGGTTAAGGGACCTGCCCAAGTCACACAGGTAGTAAGTTGGGATTCAAATCCAGTTCCTGTGACTCCAAATCCATTGTTCTTTTCATTGCATCATGCTATTTCCCCTGTCCAGGATCATACAGCCAAAATATATCAGTCAGGGGTAGAACTCAGATCTCCCTCCCAGCCCAGCCCTCTGACCTAGTGGCTAGAGGTTCTTAACCTTTTTTTGTGTGTGTGTCATAGTCTTCTTTGAGAGTCTGGTGAAACTTATGGACCCTTTCTCAGAATCATGTTTTTAAATGCACAAAATAAAATATATAGGATTACAAAGGAAATCAATTATATTCAAACATGGTTATCCCAATATTTTCAAAAGCAAATTCATGGGCCCGGAACAAGAACCCCAGCCCTAAACTGTGCTGCTTTAATATACTCTAATTTATACTGCAGCTATTTGTGTATAAACCTTACAACTCTGTACTAGCCTGAGAGCTCCTCAAGGGCAAGGCTGCTGGTGGTTTTCATCTTTGTACCCCCAATAGGACCTATAGAAGGGCCTGGGAAATGATTATGGAAATGGATTGAGGCAAAAGCAGCTGTAGCCCAGTTGACACAATGGCTGTGCTACAGTCCTGGGCAAAACCTTTGATACAGCCAATAAGCCCTCCACCTCTAATTATCTGTCCTATAAATCCAGATATTCATAGATTGGATTGTGTTTGCTGGGAGCAAGTTCCACCAGTAAAGAGATAAGTCTGCATTCTCCAGGCACCTTAGAATCCAGAGTCCTGCTGGGCAGAAAGGGATTTGGGCCTGGTGGACAATTTAGCTACTGGGACTTTGCCAAGTTGCTCTCCTTCAACACTGTGTTCCAAGAGCTTGCTGCCCTGGGGGAGTCTGGTGGGTGGGATCTGAAGTCCTATGCCCTACAGCTCAAAATCTTAAGGGAGGGCCAGGTCCCTGTCCTAGATGTTCTTCATTGTCGCTTGCTCCGCCTTTTCCAAAGATGTGTCTTTAAAATACCTAACTCAGGAAGCTGGATATGATGCCTCCCTCTCCCCATCGACCCGAATGCACACTTCCCCCGCAAGCCACATGTCACCCACCTAACAAACATCTGGAGAAAGGTTTTCCCAAAGTACACAGCTTAGTACAAAGGAATCTCAGAGAAAGATTGTCCCTTTCAGGGCCCCTCCCCACTAAGAGCTCAATGTGAAAGTACGGAGATGAGAAGGGGGATTGGGGAGACATCCACTCGGCAGCACAGGGTGAAAGTGAAACAAGGAGGTTGGCGCGTGCGCACTGAAGCCCCCAGCCCAAAGAAGGGAAGAGGAGATAAAGAGAGCACTGGCCTTGAGTAACCTTTCCTGGAGCCCTAGGGTTATGCAGCTAAGGCAGGGGCTGATTCCATCCTGTTAGAACATTCCAGAGGCCCTAGCCACTGGCAGTGAAAACTAGAACAGATCTCATTCCTGATCTTTATGTCGGGGGCAGACTCTGCCAGGAGAAGGCAGGGACCCAGTCTCCCCGAGAGGACAGTAGGATTTGGCCAGGGTTGAGGAAGGGCGGTCACCTGCCCATGGTAGGGAAGCATGGGCAGGAAGTGGCACACACCAGCCTTGTCTCCCGAGGGGCCCCTGTCAGGGTGGGGAGAAGGAGCTCAAGATATCCTTTAAGTATCCAATTCCCTAGCGGGAAATAGGTTATAGCAGAGTGTGGGAGGGGGAAAGGGTACAAGGAGAAAGCTGGCAGCTGAGGCCAAGACAAACAAGAGTTACACAACTTCTCCGTGATCCCTGTCGACTACGTCTGTTATCTCAGCATCCCCTCATTCCCTCCTTTCCAAGGAAATGCTGAAGGGGGAGAGCACTGGGGCCCCAATCAGGCTGGGAAGCTTTGCAAGCAGGAGCCATGGAAGTATTGAATCCCAGAGACGAGGAAGGAAGTCAGAAAAGGCCTGACCCCTAACCCCAAATGGCCAGTCTTCGCTGGTGCCGCTTGTTAACCCCGCTTGGGTCTGAGTCATTCTTTGAACACCCCCGCCTTCCAGAGGCCCATCAGTGAGCTACCTGGGTTTCAACAACAGAGAATAGGGAGGGGTCAGATCAAGGAGCTGGGTCTTGATTCAACCAGCTCAAGTCACATGGCAAAAGGCAGCTCTCTATTTCCCCCTTTTCCTGGCCCCAAGCTGCCCTCCTCCCTTCATTTGGGACCAACAACATCCCAGACTTCCCAAACTTTGAAAGCCCTGCATTCTGTCGTTCTGAGTCCCTCTGACTCTGCATTTCTTCTTCCCCACCTCTCAGCATGAAAGCCAAGAGCTTGGTCCTCAGAGAACACATCCCTAGTCCTTGGCATCTTCCCAGCTCAGTCATTAGGTTAGACAAACCCAGCCCTGGGACCTTCTGCGGCTCTGAGCAAAAGGGAACTTGCCCTAGAGCATGGAAGACTGGTAAGAACCTTAAGGAATAAGGCTAGAGGGTGCCAGGCAGGCTCTTGGGGATGGAGAGAGGCAAGCTGAGACTTGAATGGGACGCTTTAGTCTGAAACCGCTAAGATTTTCTGGCAGCCAGTCTCGAGAACAAAATAAACAAAAGTGTAAAGGAAAGCAGCAGTTTGTAACATAGATGGTGCTGGGAAAGAAACCCTCACCATCATGACGTTCCCCTGTGCTACCCCGAGGGGCATTTCCCCTACCCTTTATACATATACACACCCCAAACATACTCCTATGTCAATCTCCAATCTTTCCTGAAACCTCCCTTTTCTTCAACCAGCCACAAGCAGTCTGAACCTCATCCCCCCCCCATTGGCTTCCTCCTTCACCACTAACCCCAATACCCCTCCCCCCTTTCCTTCCTTATTTCTGTCACCAACTCCCAGGGCCACTGTGTGGGCCTAGCTTCCCCTGTCACCCTCCACACCCCCCTCGAGCCCCCCCCCCCCGGCCCCCCACCTCGTGGCCTCCATAGAAGGCAATCTCCTCTGAGTTGGCCACCACTCTCGAGTGCATGTAGCGCAGCTCCCCTTTGCGGCGGGCCTCCTCGGCCACCAGCTCCCCGAACTTGGGGGAGCAGGCCCGGAGCACCTTGGCCGTGAGGAAGACCACCAGGCCCGCGATGGTTGAGGGCCAGGTTGTGCTGGCGCCCCTGGAGCGAGCTGTGCGCAGCAGGGTGTACGAGGTCACGGCCACGTCGAGCAGGGGCTTGGTCAGGTTGGAGTAGAGGTGGGCCACCGAGGCCGCGAAGGCCACCACGTCCTCAGTGAGGGACTGGTCAGGGTTGCGCAGGCGGCCGTCCATGTTGCTGACTCGGTAGTAGGTTTGCTGGCTGAAATAGAGGCGGTAAGCGTGCTCCACGAGGCGGCTGCGGAAGGCCAGCGCCAGGCGGCCCTCCAGGTAGCGGATGGCGCTGTTCACGAAGGTGGCGGGCAGCGCGATGAGCAGCCACTGCAGCAGCTGCCAGCTGAAGGCCCGCGGCTGCTTGCGCACGATGCAGCGGGCCAGGCGGCCATCCAGGCGGGCCACGTACACGGACAGGAAGGTGCGGCTGACCAGCGCCGCCGTGTGCAGGCCCAGGAGCGCCGTCTCCCGGCACAGGACCTTGGGGAAGAGGAGCCGCAGCAGCCACAGCAGCCGGCGCAAGAACACGCGGTTGGCGCTGGCGCTGGTACTGCTGCTGGTGCCGCTGCCCGCGGCCCCGGCGGCCAAAGAGCCCGAGGCGCTGCGGGCCTCCGCCTTGGCCAAGGCCTGGGCCCGGGGGCCCCGCGGGGGCGGCGTCGCCAGGCACTGGCGGACCAGGGGGTAGATCTTGTGCGCCCCATAGGCCGTCAGGGCCAGCACCACGGCCAGGCGCCGCAGGGAGGCCGCCCGGGAGGGCCGCGCCGTCGAGAGCACCTGCATGGCGCCCGCCTGGAAGGGTGGGCACGCGAGCTTCTAGCAGAGGCCGATGGGAAGGTTGCCCGGGCAACTAGAGCCCTGCGGGCAGGCCCCTTAGGCCGTTTCCTTGGGAACCCGGGGTGCAACAGGGCGTCTGCCGAGGTGGTTGCCTCAGCAACCAACAAGGGATCTCTGTCTCTGTGTATCTCCTCTGTCAATCTGTGTCTTTCTGCGTCTCTTCTTTGGGTCCCTCCTCTATGTCTCTGGCTTTCTTCAGTCTGTCTGTCACTCCTTTCTGTCTCTGCACTTTTCCTTTCTTCAGTTTCTCTCTCTTCTCTCTTTCTCTGTTCTGTCCTCTCTCAATCTCTATCTCTCTGTCTTCACCCTCCTCAGTCAGTCATGATCCCTACCCACCGGTCAGCCTTGTGGACCAAGTAAGGTCAGGATTTGGGGTGGAGGGGGTCTGGGGAAGGGAGACCTATCTTCTCTTCCTCCTCCTCTTCTTCTTCCTCCTACTCCTCCTCCTCCCAGGGCGCGGCCCCTCCTCAGAGCAGCAAACTCGATCGCTCCTCAGCCAGACTGGAGCGACAGTGACTCCGCCACCGGCCCATAATCCCCACCCACCCCTCCCCGGGGGCGAGCGAGATGGGGGGGGGGTGGAAGGAGGAGGAGCTGCAGCTGCTTCAGGCCGCCGCGGGCTACAGCGACCCCGCCCACTTCACGCCTCTAGCTACTCCCCGCCTTGCCTCCAAAATCATAGAGACTTGGAGGACTGAGACGGCTAGAGAGGCCATTTTTTTCCTCCCACCCCGGCTGGCCCCGCCCTCAGGGAGGACCATCACCGGTAGAGAGCGGCCTCTAGCTCCTTTCCTGGGCACGCGCATTACCGCGCTCACGCTTTCCTGCTTGCCCTCTGAGGTCGCCGTAGCAGTAGGTGGAAGCGGTGCGGTGGTCGGTGGGAGGGTGAAGAGAAGGCGGGGCCTGACCATCCGACTTCCTATTTCCGGCCCGTGGACACAAGGCTGAGGGGCGGGATTTGGGTGTGAGAGTTTTGACTTCGAGTAGTCAAATCTTGCGGCTCTGGTGCAGAGGCGAGCAGGTGAGGCGAGGCTGAGTCTGCACCGTCCCCTTGGCTAGCAAGGAATTCGGGGGGGGGGGGGGGGAAGGCGCCATGATTCAAAGGAAAGGACCCCTGCGAGGTTGCTCGTCCAAGGCGAGGGGGCCGCCGCCTGCGAGGCCAAGCAGCCTCGCCGGGGCCCTGAGCCCTGAGCCGCCGGGCATGGAGCTGAAGACTGGAGAGGAAGGGGGCAGGGGGCGTCCCCGGTGCCAGGGTGGGGAGGGGGTAGAGAAGCACCTCTGGAGCTGGGGGGACCAGGGGGACTGGGAGGTGGCCGAGGCCGCGTGGACTGTGGGAGTGGCTGCCGCCAACGGAGCAGGACCCCTTCCGCCCCAGGTAGCGGGGCTGGGCCCCCCCCCCCCCCCCCCCCCCCCCCCCCCCCCCCCCCCC